AGCCCTAGGAAGCAGGCAATGGCAAACCACTTCTGAAAAACCTTGCCAAGAAAGCTGCAGGCAGTCTCCAAGAATCAGACATAACTGAATGGATTTTTTTAAAAAAATGCTACCATATTATCATACATTTTTTATGCATCTGTTAATTTTTTTTTCATTTTGATACATTTTTGTTTTCATTATGTCTTATGCTGAAGGACAGTATCAAGATGCAAGGATTAAGAGAGGATCAAAATTGTTTTATTTTTACATGTTATGTACATCACCTCTTGACAGTTTCTTGGATTCACTGAAAGAGTTTGAGATTTTTTTAAACAATGAAAAAAAAAAAAGCTAGGCTGCTTGGCTCCATCAGAGTGTTTTGGTAAAATATTACTAGCTAGGTTAAGTCTTTAGGATTATTTGTTAGTTTCCACTCTATTTCTCATCAATTTAAATTGTTGAAATTTTATAATATAGTTGTGCCTTCTCTTAATTAGTATCCAAAGCAATATAGCCTTATAACATCTTCACACAAAATAGTTGTATCAGTGGCTATCATTTGAAATTTCCTCAAAATAATGCCTGCTTTAAGCAATGAGCCATTTTATGTGTACCAGCTTGCCATAATAACTCACGGTTTATAGAGTGGCATCTTTCCATTAAATACCCCAGCATGGAAATAAGCCACACAGTTCAAGGTGAGGAACATAATAATTGCTAAATGTTTATAGCTAGTTGTTTGATTAATAGCTATCATCAAACAGAAGAGTTTTTTTCTGAAACAATTGTGTTTGTGTTTATATCCTGTTTTTATTATATTGCTTTCATATGAAAAAAAGAAGACAGAAACCAAAAGAGAAACAATATATATGAAATACAACATTAAACCTTGGTTAGACAAAGTAACATTTATTAGTCTTTCCATTACATTAATAAATAAAAAATTCATAAATAGACAGCATGTCATTAATCTAAGATTGTAAATCTGGGGCAACAATGTCTTTCCACTCTAAACAAATAATCTGTTTTGTTATATCCCATGCATAGTAAATCCACAGTTCTCCATATGGTGATATATTCCTCATATTTGGTCTATAATTCAAAATCATTTTCACATATTTAAACCATATGACACTTCCCAGACTTAAACTAAACTAAAGCAGAATAATAGTGGGGCAAACTCATACCTGTAGAGTAGCACAGATAAGATCTTGGAGAAGTTATGCGGTGGCCATTAGTGAAACATAAGCTTAGCCTGGAAAAACAAGAAAGCATGAGAAAAAACTAAAGGTTGTCCCTCCTTAACTCTCTGTGGTATAAAAGAAAGAGAAGGGGAAATGTTGCCAGGCTTTCAATATTCTGTTGTTATAGATAAAGTAGATTTCTACTATTTCTTGTGATGTCTGTTTCCTGACCAAGTCTACCTTGAAGGGCTGACAATACCATATGTGTAAATCCATCCATTAATTCACATTTTCAGTGTAATAAACTTGTCAGTCAAACTTTTAAAAAATCTCTAAGATGTCCAATAATCTTCCATTAAATTAGTCTCATTTTCAGCTTATAAGAAACTTTGTATTCTTTAAGATCCTTAATTATTAATTTGCCAGTATTAGCTCTTCTAACACTTCCAAAGTTCCTGCAAATAATTAACATCCATCTTAACAATAGCCTTGTCTATATAAAAAAAAATACTGTAGATTTAGAATTGCCACAAACACATTTCTGTATTGATAAATAATTCAGAAATTTTGTCTGGGCCAAACAGTGAAATAATAATAATTAAAAAATGAATGGAATATAATGACTTGTTGAAGTTTTAGATAATCTAAAGATGAGATACATTAGAACTTAATTTCTCTGTTGATAGAAACCTTTGATTCTTCTACATACTTTCTACTGGTCTGAGGTATACCAGTTTACAATACAGTCTCTAGAAAGCCTTAATTTTGTGGCCAAAAAAAAAAAAAAGTTTAAATCTGTTACTTCTAAAAGGATGAA